AACTCAATAGGAACAGAGTTATATAGTTGTGCAATTTACAGGCTTTCAATGCACTGGCCAATATTCTGTCCAGCTTATTGCCTAGTTCATAAATAGTATGTTTGCTTTTAGCTCACCCTGTCCAAACTTAGAAATTCTGTATGAACCCTCTGCACATTGCATCATACCCTTTCAAAAGATGATCTACATATAGTCACAGCATACACTTTCATTTTATATTGAATATGATTATTTTATATTAATTTTCATATAAATTTATATTTTATTATTGTAATGGCAGTACAAAATGTTATTTTTGGCAATCTAATATAAGCCAAATTGAAAAAAATCTCCTTTTTTGTTATGATTGTTGCTTGTCTTCTGGCCATTTCTTTTCACATCTTCCTGAATTATCTGCATACTTTGCAACTTCTACTCTGCTCATTCCTTTGCTTTTATTTTGATTTTAGGAGACTACATATCCCATGGTACCTTGCTGTCTACAAACAGTGATTTCTGCACTGATCTGCCCCTGAAACTCCTGCTCTCAGTACTGTACAGTATGTAGTTCAGAAGGCAGACTCTGTGAAATGTGTGACACCACAGTGCATATTCATAGGGAATAGTGAATTAAATTTGTAGGATTCTTTGAAAGGTGAGTTTATAACTTTAGTATCATTCAGATTAATAGGAGAAGGCTAGCAGCAACTGAAACACAATTTTGAAATTAAATTATTTAAAATTTTGACCATACGTACACTTTAAGCTCAGCTATGGTTTGGGTTAGTTCCATAAGACTGATGTTGCTCTAATCACAATAATGCCACAGATATTCCAAAACAAAAAATGAGATGAGAAGACAATAGACAATACACCATAACATAATCAAAATGAGGACCAAAAATGTGTAACAGACAATAAACCGTGACCATGGGCAAAACGCACGGAAATGATCAGGGAAAAATAAAATATTAACTAAATCACAGTAATAGTGGGACATATGAATCCGTCATAACATAAATGGAATAACGTGAATACAACTGATGAGAAAGTGGAGTAAAATGTGAAAAATACAAAATGAAGTGCTTAAATATTAAAAGTGGACAAACCATTTATCACAGAAGAATGACAATAACAATGCACAGGGAGGCCAAAAAATGTGACAATGCGACTAAAGGGTCATAACACAATGTGCATCAAAAGGCCATGTGACATAAAACGACTAATAAGTGACCATATAAATACCATAGATAAATGTGGCAAACATATATAGAGTGCAACTAGTATAAAGCAGAAAATGGTGATACAAACGCACAGTGAAACCAAATGAATGTATTACTGTGCACTGTAAAATACAATAACACAATGAAGAAATAAATAACATGTGACAAAAAAAATAATAAATGCGACATAAAGTTCATGTGCAAAAACGTCAAACAAAAATGCATCAAAGAAAAAAACAAAACAAAAACAACGTGGATAGGTAAATGATTAGTGAATCCCACACCAGCTAAATTGCCTCCTTACCTCCACGCCTAGTCCCCAAGGGGCCAAAAGGCTTTCAGGACACTCACTGCAGGGGCCATTTAAGTGGAATCCTAAACGGTGATGTAGGGATGATATCCCCCTCACTGGTGGACCATACTGTTCAGTGGTGGTAATACATATTTCACCTTTGGACATGGAAATCAGCCAGTGCACAGAACTCTTGCCAGGGGTTTGTTGTACCAGAAAAAAACATCAGCTCACAGCCCTCCCAGAGAGACAAGAAAAAGTGCTTCCATAGTGTAATATTGTAAATTAATCAAATTTATTGTAAAGACAAATGTGCACTTACATGGGAGCAGATCAAACAAGGCATCAATCACATGTGCTGAAATTGGTGTACTGGGTATACCAATATGGCTGCGGCCGTTCCTATTGGAAATGGCGTCACCACATTCCGCTCTCCGACCTACGCATTACATCAAGGTTACATGACTTCATCAGTTTTAGAGAGCCCTCCTGATATAGCATTTCCATATTTCCCATAGTGCAAGCAGATTCTGATCTTGTATGTTTGTGAGGAAAATTGATGTAGTTGGTGTCTGATTTCATAAGCAATATTAAGATCTGCATTAGGGACTAATTAAACGTTTGCTGTCCAGTTCTATGAGTAATATCAATGAACTGAAGTGCCAGATATACTGGTGAATGATCCAATAATACAATTGACCCTATCAAGGTTTTGTTTACTCAAGAAGTGTGGCTTGTCAGAGAAGGAAAATAGTTGATGTAGTGGAGAACACTATATGTAGTCTCCTCCTTGTGGGTGATTAAGCCTCCAAGCATCAGTCAGCTGGAATGAATATAAGGCCTTTTACTACATTATTTTGAGAGTGGATGAGTCCATCTAGAGACATCTAGGAAAAGGTAAAATTGCTCGCACAATCCAAATGTCCTCAGCAAATCCAGCCACTTCTATCCACCTGGCTGGTTATCTAGAGTAAACTGTTGGCAATAAAGTTCTCCTTTTTTTACTTTTGCATTTATCTATACACTTCCATGGAGACTGCTTGGAAAATGAGAATTCAAACTCATTTGAAGTTGTAAGAGACTAGGATAAATTGTAGTGTATTGAAGGTTGATGATTTTGGGAAGTTTATTTTGGTAGAAATGTGTCTCTATGAATGTGATTTGAGTATATGCTCTTCATTGGTCTGTAAATAGAGAGAAATTTTATTTTTTAGAACACTGAGACCTCTCACATTTAGCATGGTTAATTGTACTGATAAGATGCTGAATATGTGTACTGAGACATTTTTCTTGAGATAAAGGCCAAAGTGGTCAAACCTGAGCAGGTACTCCCCCAGGGGGAGCAAGAGGTAAGAGAGAGCAGTGGTAGGTTACGGGGACAGGAAGTTCAAGGAAGTAAAAGCCAGGGGAAGATGGCAACAAAAGAAAGGAAGGGAAAGTGAAATTAGGGGGGATCATTCTACCATGGTCTCCATCTGCCCCAAGTCTGACAAGGAATCCAGGAGGCTAGAAACTAAGAAAGTGACATTTACTCTGGATAAATATTAGTGATCAATACCATCAAATACTTCCTTTAATTTGATGCATGTTTCACTATTGTTACATAAGCAATCTACTCATTGTGAAATTACATACAGTGGATATAAAAAGACACACACCCCTATTAAAATGTCAGGTTTCTGTTTTGCCGATATGTGTTGCGTGATGGCGCCGGTCCAAGTTGAAGCTCAATGATCACCTCACCGGTATAAAGGGATAGCAGTGTCCACAAATTTTCCAGTCTTGGAAGCATGAAATGACAAAGGACACCACTCTAATTGCTCGTGGTATCTTGTATGAAGAAGGCCTCAGCCGTCACTCCGGCCATGCCCTCTGATGCATTTCACCCTGTCCACCGGGACTTGGAGCAGTGAGAGACAATGAGCGCCAGGCATTATAAATGCGTCATTGGCTGTGAAATGGATGAGAATCCACAAGTGAGTGCTAATGAGAAAGATAATAAGTATAACAGATTATAATGGATTAAGACGAGAGAAAGAAAGGGAGAAATAATAAAGAAATATAAAAATTATTGAGAGGATGATCCTAGAAACAGTAATGAGAAAAATAAAATAAAAAAAAATAAAAAAAAATAAAAAAAAGGAAAAAGAATGAAAAATGTGTGATAAAAAACATACAAACATAAATAGAAATTAAAATGAGGTGAAAATGAGTCTGGTGTGCATGAAAATTGGAAACCATAAGCGTTGATGCAAATATAAAAGTGTGCAGTGTATGTGGAAAAAAGGGAAGTCGTTGGATGTGTGAAAAAATTTTTAATTTTTTTTTTTTTAACATTTATGAAGAAGTAAAAAATGAACAGTAATATAAAAATTTAATATAAAGAAAAATATAGACTAAGCCTAGAAAATTGTGTGCAAATGATAAAATTAGAGGATTGCTGTCCTAATCAGGGATGTCATATAGGACAAAAAAAATAGAACAGAAAATAAAAAATGGTAGTAAGCAATAAGAAAAGGAAATATTTCCTAGGCTTAGTCTATATTTTTCTTTATATTAAAATTGTATATTACTGCTAATTTTTTATTATGTTTTACTTCTTCATAATTGTTAACTTCCAATTTTCAATAACGTTTATATTTTATGAGGGGTGTGGTCTGGCTGCAACCCAAGATGGCCACCTAGCTTTCTTGCTGTGTACCAGCTGGGGCACAACGGCAACTACAGAGCATCAGTGCCCGCACCAATTCCTCCAAAATGGAGGTACTAGCTCTAGAGACCCTCCTGGACATGTCCAGGAAAAAAACGCTGCTACACAGACCCAGGAAACTTTTATATTATAAGTATTTCTTTATGAAGCCACCTTACAGACCCATCCAAGATGGCACCAGTGGGGAGAACTGCTTCACAGACATGCTAGCAGACACACACTCAGAGCAGGGGACTGCTGCTCTCAGTGACATGGAAGAAGATAACGCTCAAGGGGACCCTGAGCTGGCTCAGAACATCATGAAAGATGTAAGAGAGCTGCAGAATCATTAACCACTAGCCTACAGTGCACTTATACCCCCTTCCTGCCCGGGCCAATTTCCAGCTTTCAGCTCTGTTGCACTTTGAATGACAATTGCGCGGTCATGCAACACCGTACCCATATGAAATTTTTATCATTTTTTTGTGACAGAGCTTTGTTTTGGTGGTATTTAATCACCTCTGGGTTTTTTATTTTTTCTTAAACAAACCAAAAACCACTGAAATTTTAGAAAAAAAAATGTTTTTTTCTTAGTTTTTGTTATAAAATTTTGTATATAAGTGATTTTTCTCCTTTACTGATGTGCACTAATGAGGCTGCAGTGATGGACACTGAAAGGCTGCACTGATAGGTGGCACTGATGAGGAGGCACTGGTAGGTGGCACTGATGGGCATTGACAGGCATAACTGATGGGCACTGAAAGGCAGCAATGATATATAGCACTGATAGGCGGAACTGACTGGCATTGATAGGTGGCACTGACTGGCATTGATAGGTGGCACTGACAGGCACTGATGGGTGGCACTGAAAGGCAGCTCAGATGGGCACTGATATATGGTATTGATGTGCACTGGTAGGCACTGATATGTGGCATTGATGTGCCACTGATGGGCACTGGCAGGTGGCATGGATGAGCACTGACAGCTGGCACTGATGGGTACTGACAGGTGGCACTGCTGGGGCTACACAGATCATCAAAGCACACTGATCATCAGTGCCCTGATGATCAGTGTACATGTCCCTTCTGAGGGATGCCAATTACTGGCTCTCCTCTCGATCAGTCAGTGTGACAGTTTGTGAGGAGAGAAATGCCAATAACTGGCATTTCCCTGTTTACATGTGATCAGCTGTGATTGGACACAGCTGATCACATGACCGAGCCGACATCTTCGGCTCTTTCCGTTGCTTGGTGATCCGCTGTGTCCAAGGGACACAGCGCACCGCCAATCGCTGCACACTCCCAGAGCCGCGCATGCATGGTTAGAATGGGAGGACGTCATATGATGGGAGGCGGTTAAATAAATAAAGTGCATATGCAGCACACAAATAATGCTCTAATATATTAGTTTTATAGGTAGATGTATACTATAAACACATATCATTGTGCATAGTGAACAGATATACTCAATACCAAATATACATACAAAAACATGCAAATCCTTGTGTCATAAGTGACAAACGCATGTGCCCAAACCTGCGTTGAATTATCCAAAAATAATCATATGTCCATCAAAAAAAAAATAAGACCTAATAAGTGCCAAATTCATCATAAATCACTCCCAGTATCATACATCCGTGTGATGAAGTTGATGTGTGCTGTGTTTGAAATTGACCATACGCTATTAAACAAACAGTTTTTGTAGTGAATTGTGCCTTTAATACTGCAGTGCTTCATGTGATTTTCAAATCCAACCGAAGCGCAAAGGTGTCCCTCTTCAGTGTCTAAACACCCCCGACACACTATTGCACTCACCTTAATGTCTGACCTGTATGCCAGGTCAAACTGCGCTTTTCCCTTTGAACCGGGTAGGTATATTGATGTAACTGCTCTTCCACCGTCAGCTTACTATCTCCTCCAACTCCGCTCCATACATATGAAAAAGATGCTCCTCATATTTATAAATAAAAACACCTTTATTAAAATACAAACATTTCCACTCACATTTAATAGTGTGGGACACTGCAGGATAAACTCTTTGTGTGTTTTTGAATGCTGTTTTCCTATACCATATGCACTTTATTTATTTTACACATCACTGTATAATCATTAGAATAGTGCAGAAAATCCTCTTGCGCTAACAAATGATAAACAACTAAAACAGCTGCCAACACTCTCCTACTAATACCTAATGTAGTGTATAAACTTGAATAAATATATATATAGTGTGGCGCTCAGAATAAATATATATAACAATCAATAACTGGTTAATAAGTAAATATACCATAAAATACCAATAATACCTCAAGTGATCACACTCTAAAAATATCAAAGTGTATCAAATAAATAAGTGCATCAATAAATGACTCAAGTGTTCACACTCTAAAATGTATCAAGTGACTAAAAATGAATCACATGCTTATAATTAATAAAAATCAATACCAACTTAATACTAAGTGTGAAAGTGCCAAATAATAGTGCCAAGGATATATAAATGTCCGTTCCTTCAAACCAATCGAAAGTAATATTCTTCACGTGATAAATAAGTTCATGCAATAAATAGTGATAATCGATAAGTGATTTGTGCCAAAATCTTCTCCAAACAATAGCTGAAGTGCCTCCTCACCTCCTCCCTGCGACCCCTAAGGGCCAACAGGCTTGTAGGATCAACCTGGATCCTAGAATCAAAGAAAGCCAACGCTATTTTTTTCTTCCTTCTTTCTCTTTCCTGGTGGGACTCCTATTTCCCTTTTACGCAGCTCAGGTGCCTTAAGAACAATAGCTCACCAATCCAGTGAGCCAAAGAGGAAAAACACCCTCTAAGTGTAGTATTAACGACTCCTTTTATTTCAAAAAAATGCAAAGTGATAGAACTCACATATTCCAGCAGTCCTCCCTCCTCACCGATGTGTGGGTACACTGCATGTAAACCGGGACTTCCTGGTGTAGCAAGATGGCGTTACACGCCGGAAGTGCGTCACCCGCGCACCGGAGACTGCGCACTCGTAAACCTACGCGTTACGTCACGTACAACTCGTGACTTCCTCGGGGTAGCAGATAACGGACACAATTCCTTCCTATATACTAAACCAATCAACCCTCATTGGTCGCGGTCCGCCTCTCACATAGTCGGCGGTACCCGCGCCATTTTTCAGAAGACTAATTTCATTCTGACCGCGGCCATTTTATTGGTGTCATTCCAAACAGACATTTATATGGGGACATAATTAAAAAACGCCTTGTGTTTCACATAAAAGAAACTACATTAAGTAACATGCTTTTTAAGGAGCCCTAATGGATATGTATAAAATAATGAGATATAAAAAAAAAAAAAACAAGATGACAACCTTTAATTTAAAATCATCTATTCCCTTAGAAACATATACCAAAAATCTATATAAAAATAAATATAAAATTATGACAGAAGTCTATACGGAAAAAATGTATGGAAAAAATGTATGAATCCAGGAATAACCTATAAAATAATTACTCATTAAAAATTGATCATTAATAATACCTAAATGCCATTTAAACTAAGATAAGGTAAAAAAGGTAAAAAAATCAAATCCCTTCTACCATGTAATCTACCCACACATTTACAAAATAAAATCTACCTCCTATATATATAATATAGTATAATGTGCTCTGTCATTGATATCCATCAATGATTTGTAAAATTATGAAACATTTAAAAAAATATATTAAAATTATGAATGCCAGCAAATAAATCAATATACCAATATATATGCTCGTATAAATGTCAAACAACAATGAACTTGCTATAACCTCAAAAATCACTTATAAAGCAATTCAAGTCAAATTCGACATTTAACCCTTTGGGGACCTGGGTGTTCATGTAATAAATCCACCTGGACTCAGCCTTGCTTAGGGATTTAATTTTATTGTTCCCTCTCCATTGCCTCTTAAATTTCTCGATCCCCCAGAATTTTAATGTACTGGGGTCCTTGTTATGATAATTAGCAAAATGTCTGGAGACACTATGTTTCGGGAATCCCTTAATGATGTTCTGAACGTGCTCCCTGAGTCTTTTCCACAGGGGCCTCTTAGTTCTGCCTACGTATTGGAGTCCACAATCACACTCCAGGCAATATACAACTCCCTCAGTTTTACATGTTATAAATTCATTTATCTGATAAACTCGACCAGTAGCAGTAGCAGTAAAATTTTCTTTCTTTTATTCCCTCTTTTTGTAGCAACACAAGTAAAACAATTTCTACAAGGAAAAAAGCCTTTTTCATCGAGGAAAGTGATGTGACTAGTTTTGGGGGGGTCTAATATACTTCCTAACCACCTTTGACCTAATATTAGGTGCTTTTCTATATATGAATCTGGGACCATCCGGTAGTAACCCTCCTATGACAGGATCCAATTTGAGAATACTCCAATGTTTCTTGTAAATACTTTCTATTTTTTTGTAATGTGTATTAAAATCCAGGATCACCGCAACCTGTGATTCAATCTGTTTATCCTTGTTCCTGTCTACCAAGAAGTGTTCTCTGTCCACATTACCTACTTCCTTAATTTTGACCTCCATATCTTCTCTCAAATATCCTTTTTCAATGAATCTGGAGTCCCCAATATCTCAGCTTGCTGAAAATAATCATGTGTATAGGTACAGTTCCTTCTAAATTCTAACAAATTGACCTTTTGGGATATTGAAGATCCAAGGTGGGTAGTGACAACTCCCCCTAGGGATATAACCATTACGGTCGACTTTTTTAAAATGAGTGGTAGTGGTAATGTGACCATTGCTTATCCCAATATTAAGATCCAAAAAGTTAATGGTACTATCGCTAAACTCCCATGTGAATCTGAATATTTTTATCGTTATCATTTAATTTATTCAAAAATGTGGATAAAGTACTCTCCTCCCCCTCCCAAATTATGATCACATCATCGATGTACCTTTTATAAATTTTCAACTCCTCTGGGTGAGATTGATATAGGTCCTTACTCTCCCAATAACCCATGAAAATGTTTGCAACACTTGGCGCATATCTTGCACCCATCGCTACTCCTTTTATCTGTTTATAATATTTGTTGTCATACCAGAAATAATTATGACTTAAACAGAACTCAAGGCAATCCAATAAATATTTTCTCTGGGTCCAGGATAAATTACTATAAGTCCTGAGTCCCCAGGTTACTGCTTCCATTGCATCATCATGGCTAATGATCGTGTACAATGAGGATACGTCCGCACTGGCCAGAAAAAGTTTCTGTCCCCCTTTGAAATTCTTCAATATTTGTATGAGTTGCTTCGTATCTCTCAAATATGATTGCATTTGTTTCACTACTGGCTGTAAAAACTCATCAATATATTGCCCCATTCTAGCTAAGACCGATTGTATGCCATTTACAATTGGCCTCCCTGGTGGATTCAATTCATCTTTGTGGATTTTGGGGACAGTATATATAACTGGTATTCTACATGTATCTGGTACCAGATATCTGGCTTCCTTCTTATTCAAAATACCTTTCTCTACTCCTTTTTTAACTATTAATTCCAATTGTTTTTTATATTGTACCGTAGGATTTCTATTTAATACCAGATACGTATGGACATCCTCCAATTGGGTGGCCAATTCTCTCTTATAATAGTCTTTCGATAAGACTACAATACCTCCTCCCTTGTCAGCTGGTCTTACAACTAAAATCCTCCCTCTTCCTCAATTTTTTAATACCGTGATATCAATACCAATATTTCTGTTATCTTGGGTATGACTAGTTTCTCCAAATCATTGGTAACCCATTTTTTTAAAAGCATCAATTTGACTGTTGTTGGGAATCTGAGGATTAAAAAGTGATTATTTTTAAAAAAAGTGTGGGTGATTATATTACTTGGGGCATTACTTGACACATTCTTGGCCCCTGGTTGTCCTAAAAAATACTTTTTAATGTTAAGCTTCCTAACAAATTTCAGAGTATCAACATACGTGTTGAATTTATTAGCAGGTACAGGGGGGGCATACTTGAGACCCTTATCAAGGACAAACAATTCTTCCCTCGATAAGTGGCATCACTTACTTATCGAGGGAAGAATTGTTTGTCCTTGATAAGGGTCTCAAGTATGCCCCCCCTGTACCTGCTAATAAATTCAACACGTATGTTGATACTCTGAAATTTGTTAGGAAGCTTAACATTAAAAAGTATTTTTTAGGACAACAGGGGCCAAGAATGTGTCAAGTAATGCCCCAAGTAATATAATCACCCCACTACTTTTTTA